TGACAGATGACCGTTGATATATGATTGGCCGAATTTAGGTGTTCAGGCTGACATAGAACTAACTGGCCTGCAGAAGATAACAAAGAAAAAAACAGATTTTAAGACAGAATTTTTTTTTTAAATAAAAATTTTCTAACTTTTGGTACAACATGGTCTGATAAAGAGTGCATTTATATACATGTTTCAGCCAGAATGATTTGACATTTAAATAGGATTTCTCTACAACTTTAAGGCTAAATCTATACAGGAGAATGATATATTGTTTGATGGTTGCTTTGTGGAAAGCAGCTCCTGGGTTTGGTTCTTCTGGCACTGAGGTTCCCTCCAGGTTCTCCAGGTTCCTTCACTGCCTCTGCTCGGCTGCAGAGCGAAGCCCAGAGGAGCTCCAGGGAGCATGCTCAGATGAATGCCTGCAATAAATGCAGAAGAAGGACCAAAACGACTCCTCATCTGGATGTTAAAGCAGTTAAAACCGCTTCACTCTGCATTTCCGGGCATCAGATGGTTCTTAGGAGTTTTTGTGGGTGCAGTTTCAATTAGCTATATTATTAAATGCAGTCCAGTAATGATGAGTTGCTGAGATACAGACACACCTCAGAACGGATCAACAGAGGATTTTATGTATAAATATCAATTTTACTGAATAATTTTGAAGATCTAGATGCTGTAATCGTTATTTTTTCTATGCAGAGACATTATTGCTCGATGTTTACTCCTTTCTTGCTGCAGCGTCTGGAAGAAAACGATTTGCATCATGCGTCCGCTCGCCGCTGCGCAGAGGCCATGTGAATCCTGTCATTGGTTAGAACAGATGTTTATTTGGAATCCCTGCTTGAATCAGGGGTTTCAGACAGTAGATGGTTGGAAGAAGCTTTATTTATTTATATTTTTACTTTATTTCCCATAAACTTGAAAAAAGACTCAGGTGCTCTCAGGTAGACGTGGGTCTTGCAGCTCTAGAGGAACCGTGACGCCTGCAGATCAGGTTAAAGGTTTTTTATGTGGTTCTGTTTGGCTTTTCTTCACACATGAAGGTTCTGAAGCAAGTTTGATGTTTAACAAACACAAACTTAACAAAATGATCCAAAATAGTTTGACTTTGTAAATTTAACCTGACCTCCACACTCCTCTGATCTGCGTCCGGTGGAGCCTCTGGTCGATGTGGGTCGAAGCGTCCATGGAGGCCCCCAGCCTTCAAGGTCTGCTGATGATGTCATGAGGCGCCATTCCTCAGCAGGTCTTGATTGGACCAATCAGAGCTGCTCCGGTACCAGAGGGGCGAGAGACAGATTTTTGACTGTCCCCTTTGACTGTCCATAGAAACATCCAAGGCATAGGTGGTCATAATGTTAAGCCTGGTTTGTCTGCATGCTTAGAAATGTTCTGCTAATAATGAGAGAGAAGAGGCTCGTTGATCTGAAGCTCTGATTGGTCCAGGACGCTGCTCGTCTATAAACTGGTTTGGATGAATGAGTCCAGTTTAATGAATGAAGGTTTCAGCATCAGAAAGTGACCAGAATTCCCACAGCTCCCAGTCTGGCCATTAACAAACCATTAGGACATCAATAATTCAGAGTGTGGTGACACCAGAGCCCAGTCTGATCCATCCAGCCTAGAATGAACCCCCCCCCTTCAGGTTCACAAGCCGTTCATGTTTACATTAATCCTCTCATATCTTTGGAGCCAACATGAAACCATCTTCTCTCCCCCAACAGGGGGGAATGAACCGTTAGGTAATACTAGGCAGTTGCTAAGGGCCCCACGTTCCTGGGGGCCCCATAAAACTCCATTTTCATGTATAATTAATACAACTATTCCTTATTTGTGCACATTAATTATGCTTTTGATAAAAATCCTTTCACT